TGGCGGCAGCAAGGGGCTCGCCAAGTTGCTTACCCGGGTACGGTACAGTACTGCACAAACGCCAGTCAGCCAAGCCTCTCACCTCATCATCAGAGCTTTGAAAGGCACATGACACCAGTAGTCTAGAAGGTCATTCTCTTGATCCTCACCCATGGCTCTCACCTGATGAGCTCGTACTGTTAGAGGTGATCCACCCACCAGCACTTGATGATTTCCAAAAGTCACCGGAACGTGAGTTACAATTACTCGAGTACAGTATCATACCGCGAAGAAGAAGAAGAAAAAAAAAGTAATGAGCGGTTAATCTGGATCAAACAGCACAATAATCCCTGTCTTGCGCGAAAACATCTCTCCTAGAACTTGTGCAGTACTAGTATAACACCGGAACGTTGTGTACGGTAGTTTCCGCAAAAATCTACAGTGGCGCCATGAAGCCACCACTGATAGCAGAAGAATGACCTGTTCGTTCCCCGTTCGTGAGACTTTAGAAACGTGGGTATGGGACCGTACTGTACAGTACTACCGGTACTGACATCGTATAACTGCATCTCCAACACAGAAAAGAAAGAAAGAATAGTGTATCACACCGGTACCCGCAAGTCACCATAGACCACCCCCGGGGACCAAAAACCCAATCAGCCCAGCAAGGATTCATCCCCACCTTCCTCGCTATCATAGTAAACTAAGGGGCTATTTGGCGTCAGGAATGATACGATAGTTTATCCGCAAACCGTGGTTCGCGAAATGACCAACAATGGCCCATAAAGACCGGTTACGTGAGCGGGGTTTGAGGCATGCCAGTGGACGGTTTCGATAACCTACCGTATCTCGTGCCAAACAGCTCTTAAACCACCCACCTCCCTTCCATCCTGTACCCGAGTACAGTGCTCGGATATGGAAGTAAGAATCTATTATCATACGCAAAGGACCCTGTTACTGCAGGAAAGTATTGAGCTGGCCGGAATAAAGAAAAGGATCGGCAAGTTGAGGTCTTGAAGAACCTGGATTAAGTGCAAGTGATAGTAACTGGTGGTGGAGTGATACTTGTACTGCCTCTTGTACGTTTAAGAAATACGGCACTTTGATCCCCGTAGTTATCAATTCCATTCATTTATATCTCCAGAGGAAATAGTATGGTAATAGCCAATATCCATCCAGTTGTGTTACTTGGACCAGCTGTCGGTAAGAGATGACCAGGATGTACAATAAGTGCTCCAGGTTTTAACTTCTCTCTGCCCCCCCCCCCCATTTTTGCTCGATTCCTCATCCATGCGATTCCCGAGGTTCCTGATATTATCCCTGTCGTGCTCGATTTTTACCCCCATATCCGAGTAGGGAGCAGCGGTACAGTAGGTCCCCCCAACATACCCGAGCGCCCGTATTACAAACCCCGCAACACACCACTTCGCCTAGCCCAAACCGTTAGACCGTCTCCCGCCCTCAGACCTTGCGTAGACTATTTTTTCATCCTTCCATCCTTCCCACCTTCCTTCCATGAACAAACCAGGTAAGCTACTATTCTAGAAAATCCTACAGCAATACTCGAGCACCCATAAGACATGGCCACAGTCAAATATCCACATGTACAGTACCCCTCGCCCTCCGTCAGATAAGCCCCCCCACAAAAAAAAAGCCTCACCATTGCAGCCGTAAAAAATCTCCCCATTCAGAATGCGGGGGGATATCAGACCCGGTGGATGGTAAGTCTAGATGCGTTCAGTGTAGTACAGCTCGTGATATCTGTACCGGTACTGCATGGAAGAGCGAAATCGAGTACGGTATGGTGCCAAACGGTAGGGAGAGCGAGGGGAGGGGGAGGGGGATATGTAAGACAAACTTGTGCCTCACCAATGAGATTTAGAGATGGAGAGGGAGGCAGGCACAGGGGAGGGATGGCGGTGGTACCATCGGACCGGCGAGGGAATAAGTGAGGCACCTGGTTATATAAAGTGGCACTGAAACGGGGAGCGCCGTATGATATTCAATCCCTCTTTGAAAGGAACAGGGAAGGAGGAGGAAGGAAGTGGCCAAAGTGGCCCACAATGAATATCTTCCTCCAGTACAGGCGTGCCAGAAAACATGATATTTTCATCTATGCCCTGGAATTTATGGTTGACCCGGTTGCTATAACCCACTGAGGCGGTACCGGTGTCTGCTTGTATGATTGATACAACCTCTTAAGCGCAGGCTTTTGTTCTACCACTGCCGCAATACAGCGGACTAAAATTTAGAAAATTGGTTCTGGCATAAAGTTAAAGCTCCATGGGAAGTTTCCAAGTGCCAGTAGTCTAATAGACTACCTCCTCACTCTGCTACTGGCGATGTAAACCCCTATCTCGCGCGAAAACATCTCACCCGGTACCCGTCCTATGGCAGCACATACGGTAATACAGATTCGGTGACACTCGATCGTTGGTCGTAGATTTCTCAGCTACTATACTTGAACCTCACGCCGAGAATTCATGAGGGGGTCAACAACACCGGACATGAATCGCTCACCCCCATATTATTTTTTTTTTTTTCCCATTATTCTATAGTTTTCCTATACCGCGGAAGGTACTGTACTAGTACCAGTACAATACAAAGGGCAGTCAGCCACCAGTTATAAACTATACCGAACTACCATACATGTTCAAGTACTGTATGAGTATATGCATATCCACTCGTGCGGAAGGCGGCCCCCAGCAGGAATAACCTCGAAAACGACCGACCACACACGAGTGATTTGAAATTTTTACCATATCCATGGATATCGCTCTTATTAAAGTTAGTAAAGCTGGGGATAGAAAAAAAAAAAACGGGTGCAAGGTAGGGACTTTTCCGACGTTTAGCCTAAGTTAACCGTTCATTAGGTTTCTGTTGTGCATCACACTCGCATGAGCGCAATGGCACATCACACAGCATCATGCATACCCGCCTACTCGCTCAAATTCCTTGTATATACTGTGCCATGCCTGCACTAGTAATTTACCCTACAGAACTGTACCAGTCTTAGGGTATAAGATTAATTCGGGTGGGACTATGATACCTTACAGTATCACACAAGTACAATTTATGGATTTGGAGGCATTCAGGCTTGTTATATGAACCTGGTAACCACGCCCCTATGTTGTCCATACAGGTAATCATGATGCATTGAAGGAGGGGGGGGGCGATAGCAACAACACAATTGTAAATTTAAGTTAGGCTGGCACCAAACCATGAGTACAATCAGTTATGAAAGCAAACTAGTGATACCGCCACTCCTTGGGCCTGCTTGCAGTAGGGCAGCACTGCAGTAGCAGGAAGAAATTACCTGGTATGGTACTCCCGGCCTTTATTTGCCATTCCCCAATTGCGATCATAAAGTATCACTCAAGTCTCCTATTCTGTGCTGGTCTCGAGGCAGGCAAATACCCTGCTCATTTGGAAATCCTCCCGGGAATTATGCTCTTGCCCTCGAGCCACCAGACTATACTGTGCATATCGGAAAGTATAATCTGGGCATCTCGTGCTTGGTGGGACATCTATTTAGATCTCGTTCTCCCTCTTATCTCAACTCCTACTGCGGCCCTGCCGGCCAGGAATGGAAGGAAGAAGGGAAGAAAATGAGTTCGAAAACGGGTCGACGGATGTCCCTTATTTGGTCAAAAACGCAGATAATAAACGCTTCCTGCCGGATCTCTGCTTTCCAGGGATAGGTGTTATTAACCCAGAGGTCCCGGGGCAAGGACGAATGGAACAAATGGTTTCCAGGTTCATTGGGATCCTGGGGAGCCTATCCCGGCGCTATAACGAAGCCCAACCACCCTTCTCCTCTTTCCAAAAACTGCTGCAGTACTATATAGTAACCCATCTTATGATACCGTGCTCTTCCCATCCCAAAAAACCCAAACTACAAAACGCCCAAATACGCGATACACAAGCACCCTTGGATCACTGTTGCTTTTAGCTGAGTCGACTTATCCGTAAGATTGCCAAACACCGAACCAATCAACAGCCACAGAACAATTTGGTCCAGGGGCCCGTCAGCACTACCCCCAATCTACAAGTACCAAAGCGGCCCGACCCGGAACCCCCCCCCCCCCCACCGTACCGTAACTTTACTATACTGTGCGATACTCTCTCCCCCCCAAAAATCCATCTTTTTGAGAAATAAAACGCCAAATGCCCCCAAAGGCACGAGAATGCATAGCAGGATACGGTAGAGTATAATACTGCACAGGTACGCGTGGCATACCGGTATTCCACGGGTGGTGGTGACTTATAATAACAATGTAACCCTACGCTACGCTACCGTAGCTGTCAGCTATACATATAGTGCTGTACTTATAGTGTGTGTGTGCGTGCGTGCGTGCACGCGTGGTCAGGACTTCTCACCGCATCCCTATTTACCCCCCTTCCCGGTTTTCTTTGGGGAATACAATGATTGGGTTCTCGTGTCCGTGGAGATCACACCGGGGGTTGGGGTGAGGGTTTGGTACCCTACCGTACTCGTGCAGGACTAGGCCTTGTCACGGCAATCATTTTGATGGCCGCTGCTATACTTGCGAAGTTAGGTACGGCAAGATGGTCCAAGGTTTCCAGGGAAAAGGGGTGAGCGAGTTGTTCGCCAAACCTTACCAGAGGGGACAACTCAAACGAGATAGCACTGGCACGCGGTTCTATTTGAGATTTGACGGCATAACAGTTCGGTAACGGGGTTCGTCGTTGGCGAAGTAGCGACCACCCTGCCTGCTCATCGCTCATTGATATTAACTCCATTCCACCTAGAACGTGACCAAAGGTGCAGACCCCCCTCCCTCCGACCCCCCCCCCCCCCCCCCCTGTGGAACAGATGCAATGGGATAAGCGGGTCCAAATGAACGACCCGGTGTGATACTGTGTACTGTACTGTACTCGAGTACTGTACCTGACAACGGTGATCATGACAGGCTATAAATTATGGCACCTGTACCGTAATCGCCCCAAAAAAAATGTTCCCCAAAGGCTTACTCGAGTACAATATCGTGACTACTTGTACAGGATACGGTAGATTGTGTATTCCAATATCACTGTGCTACGATATGCTACCGTAAAAGCAAGAATAACAGGTGTCTTCGTACCCCCTCTCTCCTCCCCTAAAAAGTCCCTAGCACAATATCGCCGAGGAATGCATGGCCGGCAAAGAAAAGAAGAGAAAAGATGAAAGACAAAGTAAAAAGAGAAGCAGAAAAGGGAATTGTTTGAAAAAGATTTGAAAAAAAGATTCTGCGCCCTGATAACCTAAGAAATCCATCATGAAGGAGAAAGAAAGAAAAAGGTCTAGAACTACCAGAACGAGCACCAACCTGGGGGAAAGAGTACGCGTTAATAAAGTAGAATGTGACGGGGAAAGGGAAAATGCGGTGGTAACAACTTACCGATATAGTGCTGACAAAGGTTTTCCAGGTTCGTAGCTTGGTCGATTAACCTCGCCACCTGTTTAGAGATCTCAAGTTCTTCGCCGGGTTTGAAGTCGGTGCCTAGGTAAAGAAGAAGAAAAACGATCCCGTATCAGCATCGACTGTAGAAGATAACAAGGGAGGGCAGAGGAGAAACTTAAACCGACGTACCCGTTAATTTGGCCTTGACGCGCTCGAGCACTTGCAGGGCGCGTTCGTTCTGCGCCTCGGGTTTTTTTGATGAGTCGTTTTGTTCGTCCCCATCCGAAGACTCGTTCCTAAGTCGGAGCAGGTCTGGGTGATCTAGTGCAGCAATAACACTACGGCGCCTGCCGCCTTCTCCTGGCATGCCTGCCGGCCCGACTTCCGCTGGACTCTCTTTTGTTCCGAGACGCCAGTGCATCAACGGGTCATGCATAAAGGCTTCCAGGACTGCCATGAGAGATTCCTTATTTTCTCGAAGCACTTTCATGACGGCTTCGCACGTTGTCCTAAAGCTACCTTCGATGTTACTAACCTCCATAGCATAGGTCAACATGCGCGTAAGTCTGAAAGGCACTTTCTCAGGATATTTCTCGCGGTGCATGGCGACCTCAAAGCAATCTCCGAAATCGATGTGAACGACTTTCCCGGTAACACGGTCAAGCATCAGATTGGATGGGTGTCTGTCGCCAAGTCCAAGAATGTACCCAACCATGGACATTACGCCTAAAGACCTAGTGTAGTTTGTGCGGCGATCAAGCCAGGCCTCAGAACTCTTACTCTTCAACCATAAAACCCGGTAAAGATCTTGTCCGGTAGTATTGTCTAAAGCATATCCGAAAACCTCAACTTTTTGCATAAGTGTCAAGTTGTCATAATCGGGGGCCATCTGCAACATGATCCTGTGTTCAATATTCAAAAGAATCTTCCGGCTATCCCGATATTCTCTGATCAACACATGCAGGGTGTCGCTATTAGGGACCCATCCAAGTAGACCTGAATTTTGCGATAGCGGGATGACCGGGTATTGTTGTATATTGAGATGTCTCTTGAAACACTCGGAGTCCACGGACAACAAGGTGTTTACGAGACCAAAAAGTTGCATAACGCGTTCGTCCTGCCGGATATCTTCGTGCCCCTTCAAGGCGTATTGATATGGGTTTCCATCACTTCCCTTAATGGTCAACTTTCTGGGCCTCTGCTTGGATGAAATAACACTAAAAGTCGGATCAAAGCTCATGATCTTCACGACGGGCTTGCCGGTCGCGTATGTGCCTGCGAAAATGTCAGATAACGGATAACAACCGTTCATAGAATTTGGGTGCCTTACCAGGCACGGCCAAGTCAAGCTCAAGGGCCCCTAGCAGCTTGGGCGATACATATTGTAGATCCAAAGAGTTGAGTTGTGGTAACTGTTTAGTGATCTTACGGAATACCTATAGCCGAAAATTAGGGAAGATCAATTTGGGTCGCGATCGGGGTTACACGTATAATACCTGGTAGTACAGATCCCATGCCTGATTAAGGTCCCCAACCTCCCCGGTTCGCTTGTAGGCAGAACAGCATTCTTTGGCTTCATGAAGATCTCTACCAAACGCTTGATGGAACGAGATCTCTCGCAGTGTTTCAGGCCCCTGATATCATATTAGCTTTTGGAACAACTATAAATTGACACCATAATACATACCCGTTCCAACATATCGTGGAGTGGCTCGAGGGTTTTAAACATCATCTCAATATTATGATCTCCAAAGTACAGTCTAGAGGCTTCCTCAAGCCCTTCATGCCAGAGCTCATGCCATAAGACCGCGACTCGGATAAGCTCTTGACTAACTATCTCTGCCTGCTCGACTAATTTCGGACTATGCGCTTTCATACTATCCATAATCTGAGCGGCTGACTTCTGGCGTCTTGAGAAATGCGACTTTGCCGCAACAGTCAACGGGTATACCAAAGCCTGAGGATGTGCCCTCCCGACATCAGAAAGAAGTTGGTGAATAGAATGTCTCACTACTAAGTCAGGTTGGTTAATTCTAGCAATTAGCTGGGGGATAACTTCCAGCCAAGTATCCACACTAACAGTGTTGAAACCATCGGTGACAGCCGCATTGACCTCCGAGTTGCCGCCATGAGCAAACCATAGGGTAAGTAGTCTAAGGGTATCTTGAAGAGAGCTGCCAGCCGAAAGAGCGATCGAATGGAAGAATCCACTGACGGCAGGGATCACATGGCTTTGTATCACTTCTGAATTTAGGCGGCCGCTTTCCCGTCCTTCTTGTGTAGATGCTGCTGTCACCACCTCAAAGTTTGCCAGCGCCCAAGCGTGCCATGCCTTGTACCAGTCCTTGTGGAAGTGAGTTGCTTTTTGGTAAGAGTCCAAGATCCTAGAAGAGATCCGTGGCTCGGCATGCCAACTCTTATGCAATGCTACTTGCCATTCGCCCTGCTTGAGATAACATCTCGCGAGGAGGCGCGTGTGCTCATCATCAATTGCTATTCCCATAGTTTGCTGAGGACCATGAGGGTGGCCATTCGCCATGTTGATTCTTAAGTCATGAGATAGGGAATCCGTGAAATCGAACAAGTGCTGGATGGCCTCTTTTTGCTGCCCGGTGGCCCACATAAATTTCAAGCGTGCATAAGTGACTTGTGGAGGAACAGAGGTGCCTGATATCGACCCAATACTCTCGTTTTGTGGAAGCAATGAATTCAAAGATTTCTCGGCAAGCCCAATCCTACCTGACTTGCGGCATAGATTTGAGAACTTTATCCACATATCCATGTTCTCCTTCGGCGATATCACGAGTGCTCGCACTTTTAACATCCGTTGCCAGACTTCCACGTTCCGCTGACATCCCTTGAGGCGCTTGGTCCACGTACGCCTCATAGTCTCCTGCTTCTCCGGCTGATCGTTGTTCTGCTTGTAGGTGATAATCTCTTCAAGTTCTGCCAACATTTGAACCCGAACAATCACACTGTATGCCCGATTATAACTCTCACCAACCAGAGCGCTCAACTCCGTATCTAAACCCTCCCTAGCCTTTTCTATGTGTTTTGCTGCATCATCGAATTGGTTCCTATGTAACGCAAGGATCGCGCCAAAGAAACTCCTGTCGGGTGAGTGTTCTTTCATAACCATAATGTATTCATCCATCAACTCCCACTGCCCCAGCCCCCAGGCCGCCGCAGCAGCAAGAGGGGCAATCAGGCGTTGGACATCACGGCCTGCATGTCGCCACTTATCCTGGGCAAGTTGAGAGAGATGATCCCATTCACCGAGGGCATGGAGACATCTCATTTTACCCATAGTTATCTCAAAAGAATTGGATTCAGTTGTTTCCTTCTCTTGGTAAGCTTTCAGGGCCTCTTCCCAACGTTGCAGCTTCTCAAACCACGATTCACGTAAGGGAACGTCATTATATAACTGAGCTCGCCGCAGAATACCTATAGCCGCGTCCGATTGCTGCAGTTGATTATTGATACTAATGAGCGCTTCAATAACGCTTGATTGAGGTTCCTGAAGGAACTCTAACTCTTTGTAATGTAGAGCTTTTGCATACGCGTGACACTTAGCCGCATACATTCCGAGGGTCCTTATGTCAATAGGTAAAGCTTTATCGTCGTGCTCCATAAACTCAGCAAGATTCAGGAGTATTTGGAGGATCTCGGGGGGAATGTGAGGTGAAACAAGGGCACATTCAATGGACCGAACCAATTCTTCCTGATAGGAGCTTAGATAACAGCGCATCCCGCGAACCGTAACGGGAATACCCACCTGATATTGATCATATAACTCAGTCCAGCATGACACAAACGCAGCGTTAAAAAGATCTCTAGCCAAGGGATAATATGCCCCCGCCAGTCCAGCGCATGCCCTCAAGGCATGAGATGGTGATTGCTTCAAAAGCTCCACACTAAATCGGCGGATCCACTCCTGCCAATCCTCGCGAGTAGAGCGCTGCGATGCCTCCCAGGCGTTCTTCAGATGTTGCTGGTTTACCGGCAGCTTCTTTGGCCCAAAGTCTGCGAAAGAGACCTCATCAGGGTTTTCGCCATACCTACTTTTGTTAAGAAAGAATGTAGTTGTGAGGAAACTGTGATATACATACATCTCATCGGGGCTCAAGTCTTGCGGTAATGGTTCCCCCTTGAGTAGTTTGCTCACAAGAAGCTCATAATTAGTGTGCTGTATCTTGTTGACTTGTAAAATCTAAAAGGTGCCATCAGTAAATGGGGAGCGTAGTATCTTTGACGCAGTATTTCTCACTTTGTTAATCATTGGAATGAAATGGGCATAATCGTGCCCAAGTTGGAACACAAGAGCGCACAGAGTATCGAGAGCTGTCATTTTTAGTTCATGGTTACCTGTCTGATTCGCCGTCATCAAAACCCTCGATAATGGATGCACGATTCTAGAAGCGTGATCGGATATGTTGACTTTCCGGGATAGCCTCGCCACAGTTTCCATTGCCACTTTCCTGGTCTGAATCCGGTGACCGGGCTTCTCGAACATACGGACAATCACGGGTAGGATGAGATGCATGTATTCCTCGCTGCTTGAACCAAATACAACAAAGGCATGGAGCACCTTTTCTGGTGTGCCAGGACGGTTGGGATCTGCTGTCTCCAAAACTTTGAGCATGAGCGGGAGAAGTTGCGCAAGGTATATCTTGAATTCCCCTTCTAATGAATGCGCGATGGCCTCGACAAGCTGGAGGATAGTGGATTGCAATCCCGATGCCGGCTCCCAATAGTCCCTAATAAGTGCAAGGATGCTGGGAAGGAAGGTTCGGATATGCTGTTTAACAATAGAGACTAAAATGCTCAGCTGATTAAAGTACGGGTCTAGTTTGCTGGTCGGGCAAGCCCGCGTAACCGCGATGAAGCCCGGAATAATTTGCCCAAGGAACGGGACACATTTTAGTCCTAGAGTTTTGAAAATATTCATGATAGCGTCAATAACAGATGAATGATGCTGCCCGAGTGAGGGGTCCTTAAGCATATTCATTAACGAATTAATAACCACTGTGGAATAGTACTCCTCATTCGAAGGTGTAAGGCCTGTCATGATCAAAGAAACATCGGTAACCGCAGTGGCCTGATCTGAAAGATGTATTTCGGAGCTTCTCTCAACAGTCTAATATGGGTTAGTAAGCTTCCAGCCCGGTTATAGGAGATAGGATCACACCTGATGCTTATAGGGGTCCAGTGCGCCGAGAATACCCATCAATTTGATTGTCTCTTTTCGCAGAGTAGTGTTCTGCTCGGTCTTTACGATACCGACTAAGATGGTAAGAAGCTGTGGGTACCGAACATATGGTTCAATAACATATCCGGAGTTGCTCGCCAATTGCCCTAGAGTTCTGAGAGCCGCATCCCGTTTGGCCGGAGAGCTCTGATCTTGAAGTGTCTCGATGATCAAGGGCATCAGTTCCGGTATATATGGTACCATATCCTCGCCACCAACAGTTGCAAGCTCTCCTAGAGCTGTCATAATACTTGACGCCACACCCGCGCTTGGATCTCTCGCCCTTGGAAGGAGCACAGTGACCACCGGCTCCACGTAAGGCCGGATAAGCTTCTGTGACGCTGCTACAAGGTGACTAAGGAGCCTAGCGCCCTCCTCCTTGTTTCTGGGAACATTCGAATATTCCAGCTCCGTGAGGAGCTGTATCAGGGTTTTTCTAAGGGATGGTATAACATAGGCAGGGTTATGGAGTGTGAGCCTGCCAATAATAGTTATTGCGGCTTCTCGGATTGCAAAATTTTCATCATTTAGAGCCAGGAACAAGGAACGGACGTTCTCGGCCTTAGCAAGATGTCTATCAAACCGAACATCTAGAGAAAGCAAAACAGTCTTTCGGATATCCGGATCTGGAGTCGAATAAGCAACATGCTTGGGCTTTTATAAGAATTGACATACCTATATCGGCAATCGCTACCGTCAAAAGCTTCTCCATCACTTCGCCAACCACCTGAATTGCATGATTACTAGTCTGGAAGCATATAGGATCGCGGACAAAAAGCTGGCAGCAAGTCAATGCCGCCGCTTTGCGGACTTCCGTATTATCATCCTCAACGTATTTCATGGCAATATCACGAACAAACTCATTCAAAATGTGGTCTGATATATTAGCCGGAGATACTGGCACACCCTCTATCATGGGAGGTCTAGATAGGGGTCTGGTAATGAAGGCTTACTAGTAAAATCAAAGCTCCCTAAGGTATGCAAAGCAAGGGTGATTTCTGCATCCCTTTCCTCTGGGGTTTGCCCATCTCTATATTGCTTCCCGGCAACAGTTGTGGGAGCTTGAGGCGGTGTAGGGCTCCCTAGAGGTTTGAAAGGTCGTCCACAAAGAACCATGCTGATCATGTTAAGGAGCTTTTCTTGAATCGTTGGTAGCAAGGGCGGAAGGTAGTGGGAGAGATCGACCAGAGCTTGTGTAAGCTTTACACTCAGACCGCAAGCAAATATAAGGTCTAAGAGGTCGTGCATATGCTTCGTCAAGGCCTGGCCAACTGCGGTTGCCAGCATGCTGATGCACTCGAATATAGGTGCTTCTTGCTCCGCACGTTGTGCTCGATTTCTCCTGTCACGCATTAGCACGGATGGGACTGGGCATATGAACCAGTAATACCCTTTCATTGTCAAACCATCTTTGATGCTTGCCAGTATGTGATCCAGGTACGGCCCCATACTACTGCCAACAGCTAAAGCCACATCCCCGATAGCTTTGTATGCCGCCCCTCTGTCCTCGGGGTCTTTCTTCTTAAGTTGTGCCTGCAAATGCATCATGAACTTATGGAGATAAGCGCTGACGAATTCCACCGGGTTATATTTGGCCAAACAGGGAATCATCTTTACGGTCAACTTCCTTATCCCATGATCCCGGTTATCTTTTAGTCGCAAGACAATATCACAAGTCTCTCTATAACTTGCGCCCATAAACATACCAGCGGTGTCCAATAACTGTAAAAGAATTAAAAGGCTCCCATGGACGGCATCAGTAGCGCCTATTCTCAGCCCTGATTTCGCCTCTTCCAAAATCTTTGCGTACCATTGATCGCGGTTCTTCTGGTCCCTGTTCTTCATGATTCCGAGGCAAACACCTAAGGCCTCGGCGGCGGTCTCCCGAATAAGAACCTTTGGGTCTCGTAAAGCTACCCATATTAAGTCTAATATCTGGCTAAGGAAACCGTAGATAAGGGTAGGTGAGCTTCTGGCCAGTTCCCTCAACAACAGTACCGAAGCAAACCGTCGGTTTTCCTGCCGGTCAACCTGTAGCCACTCCAACGCTTGTTTCACCTCGCTTTCCACCAACTCTGAAGTTAAGGTTCCCCCAGGGGCCGCAAGCTGTCCTAAAGTCTTCGCTGCAAGAACCATACAATGGTTATCATTTCCGCGCATTATGCTGCGCAGATAGTTCGCATATCGTGTAGTTTTCTGCGTGCTATCGTCATGATCGACATCGATGAGTACCCCCAAAGCAAGGATTCCTCCAATCTTGTCAACGCTATCATTGCTGTGAATGAATTCTGAGACTCGGCGGTTCACCTCCGCGTAGTACCTAGTGAGCCCCTCGCTCGAATGTTCTATAGGCCTCCATTAGAATCAAGTTAGCATTTCCGAAACGGCAATCTTACCTCGAGAAACAACCTCTAGGTGTATCTTCAAATCATTTGTCGCCTTCTGCCGTATCTCCTCATGCCTACGGTAGATCTCACAGTCAGCCACGTATTGAAAGTCAAGGCGCTGAACTATCTCGCGTACTTGCTACGGATATCTGTGAAAATCCTCCCCAGAATCTCGAGCTGCGGAGAAGCCATGATGGCTTCAAACCCTGAGGGGATAGTCAAAATATATCAAGAACTTAAACGACCGAGAACTATGCAAGAGTGGAAGATGTGGTAGGAGTTGTTGTGATGGTGGAACTTGGCGCAAAGTTAACCTGTTTATTGTTTGGTGGTAACTTTAGAGTAGGCAGGGACGTGCTAAGTGGGAAGCATTACATAATCTTACCATCCAAGACACAAGCCGTGCCCCAGGCAGAGAGGAATCTTGGTGGAGGATGAGGCTGAAAAACAACCATTACCATGAGAGAACATAGAAATACCAGCACCGGTATTGTATGACAGTCAACCCGTATGGCATCATACAACCAGTCACTGAGCGTCTGAAGCCTCTATTATCAGGTATACTAGTACGGCTGTAGCTAAAAGCTACGGTACGGTACCATAACCCGGCATGATCTGGTACCCAAAAACCTCTTCACTTGAGCGACCAACATCGGACATGAGATTTCGCAGTCCCGGGAGAAACGTGTTACCCTAACCCAAGATATCGAAACACACTTCACGAGTCTATATAGGCTATCCGCCATACCCGTGATCTGAGCGAATTACCGTACCCACCTTTAAATGTTTCACTCATAAGAGGCACTACGGTATTGTGTAGAATTTATTTTTGCTGGGTTGGGAAAACATTTGTGACAGGTCCATGCCAACACCAGTAAAATACTGGCGCCAGGCTCACTCTATGTAAAGAGTACCGTACAGGCATACCCAAGTCAGGATTTAGGTGCTAGTATCGGTGTGTGCTTTGTGAAATCGATGATATGTGGCTTTAATAAGGCCACACACATCTTCTATGATTCATAGATATTGCGCGTATCATACTAATAGGGAGTGTCCCGTGATCCCAAATCGAGGCATGAGTAAGCACGACGCTCACCCGCACAGCGAGCACTCTCTCCGCCCATTCGCTCATCTTTAAGGTTGAATGGTTTCAAATGGTAATCCAAAGGGATTTTTTAAGCGCTCGTTGCGCTGGGTACTCATTATGTAGGGAAATTTTGTACCAAGTTTTTCAGTATGATACGAAAAGTTACAAGCCCCGGAGACCGCAGACGCTAGGACAGATATCATACTCAGTTTACTGTACAGTACAGACCATCAAATCTCCCATCATGGCATACCTCCCCCGGCACCAACGCTACCCTATCCTGTTCCCTACTTAATAATTTGACCCAATAGCTTTACTTGGCAAATTGAAAAGCGAAACAAATCACCGTGGACTTCATAAGAAATAAAAAAAATAAAGTCGCTTAAAGGATTATATTACAGCACCATTTTTGTCTGCAATTCCCAACACAATGCCTTTGTCAATTTTGTTCCCCTAGCCTTAACATCAGATAATACAAAGACTAGCACCCAGATCCCAACATTCTCCGACGACCAGCGGCCACCCGTCTATCTTCCAAACCCAGGAGGATGTGGAGGAAATCCCCTGCCACCTTGGAAACCTGGCGGAGGCTGGAATCCGGGAGGCGCACCGGGCATTCCGCCTTGAAAGCCCGGAGGGGGGGCTCCGGGGAATCCACCTGGTGGAGGAGCGGTACCCATCGGAGGTGGGGCCTGCCCGAGACCAACATTCCTCATAGGACCTTGCAAGCCCGTAGGTCCACCCATTTGTGGCGGCAATCCTCCCGGAGGTGGGGGACCCCCCATACCAATAATTGGAAGCCCTCTGCCGGCGGGCCTGCTGATACCCGGCCCGGCGGCTGCAACACCAGCAGCCGATGGGCCACCAGTGGTAGTCGTTCCCAAACGAGAAGAGGGATCTGCTGGAGGTGGAGACTCAACCGATAAAGAAACGATGTGAAGTCCTCGCAAGATAATGAGACCTAGGGTGCGCTTTTCTTCGGTGATCTGAGCTGCGGTGCTGGCGGCTGGAGCAGTAGTTTTAGGTTTTCGCTTGATGCGGCGGAATTCTTCGGTATCTGCTAAAACGATATTCATGTGCTAGATAATACTGTTAGCTTGATTGATAGGTACACGAGGTTTGTTTATATCCACCTTGTCAAAGGCTAAAAGCGTCCCCGTTAGTTGGCGGCCATCCGTCATCGTAACCCGCATACGGTAATTGATCTAAACACCCGTCAGTATCATGAAAACACATTTCAATCATCCGGAACCAATTCTCCCACAGGGTAGGTAGTCACATACGAGGTTGGCCTAGATTCAATCAGCGTTTTTCTTCAGATCCACGTCAACAAAGGCGTCTCCAGAAGCCATAAGGACAAAAGAGTAGACTCACCATTTTTCCTTGTTGTTTTGATGACATGATTGCTAGTGTAATCGGGCAAGCCGCGTTCAGAGCTCCTCTAGGACCGGTGATTGAGAAAGTAATGAGGCTCACGAGGGTGTGGAGCTCTCTACCTGAGAGAAGGATAAAGGTAACGCAGGGTGTTGTCGATGTTGGCACCCTGACCCAAATGCTTGGCAAGACGGAATGGCAAGACGGAAGAGCTGACTTATCTTTGAGTCAGCCTGCATACTTCAAGCCCTATCGCACCGGTAGTGTGGGTGTGACTGCCTCCCACCAACAAACTGCTCAGAGTTGAAGGTGAGGAAACTCTCTGCTGTGAAATCATGATAAACACCAACTGACGACGTGACGACTGACACTGAATACCCCTACCAACGACAATCAGAAAACCCGATAATCAACGCAATGGTCAGTTCTGCAATTTGTCCCTTTCGTTCTCCACACCATGTTTCTTCAAAATCCACACAAATTGAACTCTCTTTGTGCTTGAAAAATAATGGTAATCTGACGAGAATATCTTGAAAAATAAAGGCCGACACAAAATCCAAAGACACCAACCCCATGCGCGAACTCCGCATCGAGAAGCTTGGTTTGTCCCCATAATCCTCCTCGCCGTCGTCGGAAACCCACAGCCTGAATACTGGATCTCGAAAACCATATTACCAGGAGCTAATGAAATTACCAGTTCTCAACATCAGCGTTGGAGAGTCTGGTGATAGGCTTACTCGTGCTGCTAAGGTGTTGGAACAGCTTTCTGGTCAAACCCCTGTATATAGCAAGGCTCGTTACACCGTCCGTACCTTCGGTATCCGTCGTAACGAGAAAATTGCCGTGCACGTCACTGTCCGCGGACCCAAGGCTGAGGAAATCATCGAACGTGGGTTGAAGGTCAAGGAGTATGAGCTTCGTAAGAAGAATTTCTCTGAGACCGGTAACTTCGGTTTCGGCATCTCCGAACACATCGATTTGGGAATCAAATACGACCCAGCTATCGGTATTTACGGAATGGACTTCTACTGCATTATGTGAGTGTTGGAAGTTAACCCGGGGGTGTTGGCCTTGGGGGGCGGTTAAAACACATACGGTCAAATACTGATGGTGAAATTCAGGTCCCGTCCCGGTCTTCGTGTTGCCAAGCGCAGGAGGTGCCAGTCAAGAGTCGGCGCCTCGCATCGTATCAATCAGACCGACTCTATTAGGTGGTTTAAGGCCAAATACGACGCCACTGTAAGGTAGATGTGCTTGGTTTAGGGGGAATTAAATAAAACACTTTAAAATGGAGCGCGATGGTGGGGAGTTATTTTCTGCTACTGTTTCTTTCTTCCTCTTTCCTCACCGGGCACAATCTGTACTTAAAAAAAAAAATTTCAAAGGGTAACGTCTGGCATATTCTCTGACTCCAACTGGGAAAATTACCCATGCCGTGAATTGGAAGGCTCCACGAGCCACTTTAATACCAAGTGATTTGCCAATGCTGTATGCGGTGGATCTACTATAATTACTATCACAATCCGCCCTAGGTGCTCTAAACTCAAAGTTATCTCTCACCTCTTGTAAACCCCTAGGCCTTAGCTGCTCTGGGAATGTAAAAGGGACAGTCGAATATCGCATCAAAACACCCCCGCAGGGACAGAAAGCGAAGTACAAATACAACCACGATGTTGTATCATATCATCTAATACAACCGATCTCCAATATAACAAACCCTATCCTCAATCATCGAAATAACCACCATAAAGTGTTCGAAGCCCCCCTCACTCTCCTAACACTCACACCACACTTTTTTTTTTAATTAATTAATTCAAGTGACACGAGTGATTTCCTATGCAGAAAATTACAACCCCACGCAGCGCATCCCAGTTTTCCCCCTAACTCTTACTAATCAATGCACCATTTGTTACGAACTGCCCAACGCCGCCGCCGCGGGGAGAGTCCCTCTCTGGGCATTAAGAAGTGCAGGATCCGCCGCAACCATCTTCTATAGTAGTGTAATGCATCGGTTCGACAAGATTGGGGTGTGTGTATCAATGATGGGTCTTTGTGAGGCGTCAGGCCCTCCGATTGATGAGGGGGATTCGCCAATCTAGTGAGTGGTTTATTGTGTCGTATTCTGGCGAAAAGCGATAGTGCATTGAAACAGTTTGCATAAAGCACGAGATTGCGATCACTTCATGATATTACCCAATCAGACTCAGTGTATATGATAGATTTGATAGGGATTATATCGCAGTATTCCTTAGAGCGTCACCCATCGGGAATAATAGTAAAAACCAGACATTTTAATTACTCGGGAATAGCATCTGTGGATCCCGAGATAACATGCTGGAAGGATGGCCACCCATCCATCTATGTTTGGTGTCCGATACCACCCTACATAGGTCAATTATATCCACTGTGCTGTACCGATAGCGATGCGAACATGCTCGTCCGGAAATCTATAATAGGTGGATTTACGGTCGAGTTGCCCTTCTTTTCTACCACCGCGAGGTCCTGACGGGAGTACGGATAGCGCCCAGGGCCTCGCACCTGCAAATGTCCATTGCGACTGGGAAAGTAGACGTGTGCCTAGCGCCGTCAAGGATGTTAATAGTTAACATTGAGTCTACCCGCTTTCAAGAGATTCTGTACCCAAGTACGAGTACTGGTGCTGTACATACTGTACTCGTACAGCCTCCGCCCGATGCCACATGACAATAGTGTGCCGGTAAAGCAGCGCTCCCCCGCGGATCAGCATAGAGCCCCAGGTTTCTCCCCAAAAAATTGGATAATCCACCCCAGTGCTGCCGGCAATTGCAGCAATTCAGGTTGTTCAGTACAGTGACCAGACAGGGGCCAAATCATACCAAAAGTGACGGTTCTCGAGATATCATTGCACAACCACCATGGGTAGAAATAAGATTTTTAAAAAAAATGAAAAAAGTAATCCGCTACAATGGCATGCATATGGGAAAAAGGTGGGATTTTTTTTCCTCCTATCCTCCTAGAGTTGTGGGGTGCGGAACGTTCATTCCTATGAGATACGGTATCATACCTGCCAAGACAATTGTTTCGGTATAGGAAAGGTAACATTGAAACCGACCTTGCCCAGTTCATGCTCTGCAGCTCTCTAAAAACAACAGAAAGAAAGACCAAAATAAAAATGGATCATACTTGAAACATGTCTAATTTTTTTCAAAGCTGAGTCTCAAGATATTTGTGGAATTATCGTGGCTCGAAAACCCGCAACTTTGGTGTGTTTTGGCCTCTGTCTATGTACTCGTACTGAACGACCTTTATTGGCGGCGGAGGGTGGTGAATTCTCATTAATTGGGGTTGAGCCGGCCATCCAGCAGCCAAACGGGGAGCCATACCTGTATATACCTTACCTCTTCAAGGTTCGAACAAATAGTGCCTTGTAGTCACTATTTATGCGATTTATATATCAGCCCTGATACAGGGTGGTATGGTAGAAGCCGTGCCAGGCTTTCATTTCCATACTAAACCGCTTATGATAGTAGAAATCTGTTCCACCCTGCATATCGATAGCATCTACTTGACAATCTACGCTTTTATAAGCTCTAAAACCAAGACAGAAACTGTCTCATGGGGTCTTACGGACCGACCTGAATAAAATATGGTAATTGGACGGGCTTTGCTGCTTCTCTATTATGCCCAAGCGTGCAGTACCAGTACCGGTATACCGCAAAAACTCCCCAAACCTACCGTGCAGGTAGGAGAATTTAGGCACTAATGCGTGGCGATACAGCCAAGCTCATTCCAGTGACCAACCTATTTTCTCTTAGCTGATGAGACCAGTATCATTATTACAGTATTTTATGTAGATACCGGCACCGGTATACAGCTATTCTCAGGTGTTATTGTCATTTTCCGTCATTTCTCAGGATAAAAAAGCTCCTATCCAAGCCCTAGCGCCAATACCTGCATCGCGAGTTTGGCATGTTCTCTACTCTGGTCTACGTTACCGTAAGCGGTAGGTTAACAACGTTGCACGTGATCTGGAGGGGTCTCTTGGCAGGGACAGGAACCTGCCTTACCATAGGCTCTTTCACGAACTGGGAAAACCACCCAAGAACCTCTCCGATCACCAACCTTTTTCCTTTTTACCCCCCCCCCCCCCCGAGTTCAAAAAGGCCATATAAATCAAGAAAAATGTCCGCCTCCACCACTCAGCGGGAAAATCCCACTCACCCAGAATATCAATACCTAGACCTAATCCACACCATTCTAACCAACGGTGAGCACCGACCAGACAGGTATAAAACTCAATGCCCCACCTTCCCCTCCTCCCCCCACCCATCAAAACCAAAATCTAACAGACCCCCCCTCTCCCCCCCCCAAACCAAATAGAACAGGAACAGGGACAATCTCCCTCTTCGCGCCCCCACAGCTCCGCTTCAGCCTGAAAAACCACACATTCCCCCTCATAACGACGAAGCGCGTCTTCCACAAAGCCATCATTCATGAGCTCCTCTGGTTCATTTCGGGCTCGACTAGTAACGCCCCGCTCTCAGCGGTGGGCGTGAAGATCTGGGAGGGCAACGGGTCGCGCGCCTACCTGGACAAGATCGGGCTGACGGAGCGTGCGGAGGGTGACCTGGGCCCCGTCTACGGCTTTCAATGGCGGCACTTTGGCGCCCAGTACGTCGACTGCAACACGGACTACTCAGGTCAGGGTGTGGATCAGCTCGCGGACGTCATACACAAGCTCAAGAATAACCCCTACGACCGGCGCATCATCATGAGCGCTTGGAACCCGGCCGACCTGACCAAGATGGCGTTACCACCGTGTCATATGTTCGCCCAGTTCTACGTCTCCTACAAGGAAGGGAAAGGTAAGGGGGCGTTGAGCTGCGTGTTGTACCAGAGGAGCTGCGATATGGGGCTTGGTGTCCCGTTTAACATCGCTTCGTATGCCCTCCTAACGATAATGGTTGCGCATGTGTGTGACTTGGAGCTTGGCGAGTTTATCCACACTATGGGGGATGCGCACGTTTATTCCGACCATGTGGATGCGCTGAGGGGGCAGTTGGAGAGGGTTCCTAGGGAGTTCCCTACTATGAAGATCAAGAGGCGGGTGAACGATATTGATGACTTCAAGTTTGAGGATTTTGAACTCGTGGGGTATGATCCACACCCTGGTATCAAGATGAATATGTCAGTATGATGGGGAAGCAACTCCAGCTAGGAGGAGGAGGGATCAGTAGCTGTTGCTGGAGTTAATTATACTCGATACCATGTTTTTTTATTATCAGCATCGAACAAAAGAAAGGTCTATGTGAGCCTAGGCGGAACTATAGGCTTGGCTACAGTAAATAAAACTGAAGGAAAAAAAGAAAAAAAAACTCCAAATACGCCAACAGAAAAAATAGGGAGGAAAGGAAAGGATGAAGAGAACCCGAGAAATACCACCATCAATCCTGATCGATACATGAATGCTGCAAAAAAACAAATCACTACCAGAGGGATAGGAGGGAAGAACTCCAACCCGATCTCATTAAACCAGATGTAGTAAGAAAGCCAGACCAAAACTTAATCCCGAAAGTAGCATATCCCCGCTCTTCGCTCAACCACTCCGCTCCCTCCTAGGCCTGGGTAGTCTCTCCCTAACAACCCTCCTGTCAGTACGAGCAGTGGAACTACCCATCCTCCTGTCTCCCGCAGCCCTTCCCCCAACTCCACTACTGCCGCCAGCATTTCCGCCCCCATTCCTCCCTCTACTACCACCTCCATTCTCCTCCTCAATCTCGAACCCCAACCTCTGTGTCAGCTCAATGAAATCATGCGTCGCGAAATCCTGCGCCTTGGCAGTCCACTTTCTCACAAACCCTTCAATCACCCCACCGACATTTTCCAAGCTAGAACTAGTCCCCCGGGCAAGCTCCATAAGCGTCCCCGCAATGGATTCTTCCGGTTGTAGCCCTACCCCCGCCTCGCCTCCGGAACCTCCGAGTGCGCCAACGCCGGGAGTCATTCCCCTAAACACACTAGTTTCGTCATCCGGCGGTGGAGTACTAAAGCCGGTGGTCGTGTTGGTCGACACGCTCTCTTTTCGCCGACGCGGTGGAAAGTGTGAGAGCTTGTTGCGAGCCAGGCGGGCGATCTCGAGCTGACCGATGCTGTCCATCATTACGTATGATTCGTGTCGATAGCCGTGCTCTTCTGCCACAGCCTTCTCCTCGGTCGTGGGTTCTCTCTTAGGGGGTAGTAAGTTTTCTGACACGTCGCGAGTGAGGTCTAGGTCTAGCAGGTCAATGGGTTTCCCTTTAACACCGCAGTCTTCAACCGGTAGGAGGAGAATTTTACGCCGTTGCACGCTGTCGCCCGGCCACATTCCGTTCGCACGGCGGAGGGCACTGGCGTGGATGTTATACATTATCACTACGCCCTCAAGGGTGTCCGTGGGTTTGACATGGTGGACGTAGGCCAATGCGTCGCTTTCACCCCCAGGCGCGGACAGGGGCGTGGGGTCGTCCGTGGGGTCCGGGGAAGTAGATCTCTTGTAGGAAATTTTCCGACTCTTGATGCTATTCCCCTCACATGCCCCACCACTACTGCCACCAGCACCCCCTGGGGAGTCAGCCTCCGAGATGGGAATCCCCCCCAGCCAGCTTCCGGAGCTATGACTTCTCCTTCCTCCTCCCCCTCCACCACCCATTACCGTCGTTCCATCCACCGGCCGTCTCCTTCGCCGAACAGCCGCAGCCGACTCGTGCTGTTGCGCTGCGGGAGAATCCGACGTAACGGCACCCACATCGCTGCCCAGAACTGAACTTGCCAGGCCCTGCAGAGCACCCCATCGAACGCCCCATGCATCACCTACACCACCACCACCACTTGCTCCACCATTCGTTGTTGCTGTAGTCGCCGCCGTTGCGGTTGCACTCCCATTGCTCCCCCGAGGATCCAAGGTTCGGGATGGGTGCTTTGCAGGCGACGGTCGGCGGGACTTACTCGCGGCGGATGCAACGGAAGCCGGGAGCGAGGATGAGGATGAAGTCGAGTTCATCCTTCTGAACGTAGTAGCAGTCGTGGAGGTAAATGCATGTATGATAATATTTAATTATTACCTGCCCTCTAGTAGATATTATTATTGAGGGGTGAAAGATGAGCTTGCGTATGTGTGATGAGGATGTTTTGTGGTTTGGTTTGGGCTGCCAGCACTCGTAGTGTGGGAGTGAGGGGCGGGGAGCGCTACCGTGCTCGCACTCGAGTAGTGGTGTGTAGCACCGGCAATGCGAGACGTTTAAAGGGTTGGTATGGATGGCTCGGTCTGGGAGGCGGGAAGGGATGGAAGGAGGGAGGGAAGGGACGAATGGATGATGTTGTCACAGCTGGTCTTTAGCACTCTGGAGGAGGGGCTACGGTAAGGGATACGCAGATCCTCTATACATTCTTTATTCGTGCGGTGGAGGACTTGGTTCGTTGAATGCTCGAGCAGTCCCAGGGGCGGTGAAAGCTTTCTATTCTGGGGGTTTGTTCGACCATGGATGTCTTGATCCGGGGCCCCGGTGAAAGGGCGGTACCGAGATGGCTTGGCTCACGTTTGCTCACTCGAGGTCGGTTTTTTTCCGAAGGCGCCATTTCCCCAAGTTGTGTTGTGCACGTATGATACTGTACGAGTATGATACTCGAGCACTCCACCCCTTAGCACGAGATCCTGTTTTGATTGGGTATATTAGAACCTCGTAGGCCCTCAATCCAAACGACCCAAGAAACACCTATTCCCGGATCCAATCGGTAAACCTGATTCCACGAGAATCTGCTCCTTCAGTCCAGGCAGTTGGAGGAACCGGAATACCCCCCACCATGATATGATACTCCTGACGTACTCGAGTGGATGGCCCGTGACTCGGCAAAACACTTATCTATGATAATGCTTGATCTTAGATCATCGGGTGACTCCCAATGACCCCGCTTCTGGCCCCAGAGATTTACCGTGTTCTCGGTGTCACGATGTCATTTGCCTCGGGTGGGATCTTGCTTCTCAGAAAGTTCCATCCGATTTTCTAACGCGTCGCATGCTGAGTCAGCCAAAGGATCGCTAAGGCCTGCTAATTATAACACATGTCAGGCAGCTCTCGATAAACCTGCTCCATTAGCCACGAAGTCACCTCGCCCGACCTCCGCCCTGCCCCCCCCTCCCCCAGCAATTTTTTCTTCTCCTCCTTCGCTGCTGCGGGTGCGAGTAATATAGACGGAAAATGGCTACAACCACAGGTCGCAAGACAAAGCTTCTCATTGATCTCTTCCTCCTTGCTGCCACGGTTTGATTGCCCTCTCGGACCCCCTTGTTCTGCTCAGTGATACGGTGCTGACATGGAACAGCAAGTTTCGGCATATTACCTTGTCAAATGGCTGATCAGTTACCGCGACCCCGAGCGTGAGAAACGGGACATGATCAAGAAGAAGTCTAGTGCTGTTCTACGACGACTGGACGATAATCACCAACGACAAGGTGGGAAGGGCCGGTTGGAGAGAAGCACTTTCACCAGTTACGAGCAGACCATTTTAACCGAAGTTGTTGCTCCGGAGGATATTCACGTCACATTCAATGGTACCCTCCCCCGTGCATTCCATGGTTTGATGGAGGGGGTTTTCGGAGGCTTATCTTATCTGGTGGTGGTGGGGGATGAATAGACATCGGCGGCTTGGATAGCATCATCGAGGAATTGAGGGAGGCCGTAATATACCCACTTACCGTGTTCGTTGTGCTCCCTCCCCACCGCACGACCTTTGGTTGTCGCTGACAGTGTTTGCTAGACCGGATCTATTCTCTACCTCGTCTAGCTTGTTGTCCGCTCCCAAGGGCGTCTTGCTTTATGGTCCCCCAGGATGTGGAAAGACTATGCTTGCGAAGGCTCTTGCTCGCGAATCTGGGGCTTGCTTTATTAATTTGCATATTAGTACCTTGACCGAGAAGTGGTATGGTGATAGTAACAAGCTTGTATCGGCAGTTTTTTCTCTGGCAAGGAAATTGCAGCCCACGATTGTCTTCATTGATGAGATTGATGCTGTTCTACGGAGTAGGTTTTCTCCCTCTTCCCTTTTCCCTGCCGAATGGAGAATAAACACGTACTGATAGAGTGATTGAACAGGTAGAAGCAGCTCGGACCACGAGGCCAGCACCATGGTTAAAGCTGAATTCATGACACACTGGGATGGTCTCCTTTCTTCTTCTCCCACTACCGGTAATGCTAGTCAGATCTTGATTCTCGGTGCTACCAATCGTATTCAAGATATCGACGAGGCTATCCTCCGTCGTATGCCTAAGAAGTTTCCCATTAATCTCCCGTCTGCGCCTCAACGCCAACGCATTCTGTTATTGATCCTTAAAGACACCAAGCTCTCTCCGAATTTCGATATGGACGAATTGGTCCGCAAGACAGCTGGTATGTCTGGTAGTGATCTTACTGAAGCATGCAGAGATGCTGCGATGGTTCCTATCAGGGAATACATTAGGAGTTTCACTGGGGACGAGGGTAAACGCCGTTTGGAAGCCGGGGGCCGAGGTGGTATCAGTCGTGACGAAGTAAGAGGTGTGGAAAACTCTGATTTCTTCAGGAAGGGTACTGGTGGCAGGAGACCCGTCGAGGATGAAGTGATGGAAGGCTTCGAAAGGGCCGTCGGTGAGGTCCGCGAACGAATGGTGGAGATGAGGGAGAACGAGGAGTTTCGAGAAGCCGAAGAGGCTAGGGTAGATTGATATTCGTCCGAATAAACCGGACTTTGGGGGTGTGCTTTTACCCATTTCTTTTCTCCGCTCTTTCCTTTTTTGACCTTTCCATTTAGCTTGGCTTCGGGCAGGGGATGGGATGTGGAGTAATATAGATGTCATTTCGGGGCTTTGTTTTGCTAGTTTTATCTTTTTTGCTGGTTGGATAATGTTGGATAGAGGCATGTGTAATTTAATGGTATCAGTGGGAAGATGTTTGATGGAAGTTGACCACTTGTCATTGCTTGGGAGTCATTGGATGTCACTCGGCTGTTTGGCGGGTTGTAATTTATGCCACTCTCCACCCCTTCTGAGGTACTAGAGATCATGCTACTCAAAGGGAATCGCTCCCTTGCATAAGACTGGATGGCTCTCTTGCATACAAATTGCCCATTCGTCACGCGACATACGTACATAACTCTAACAGAGGAAACGCCGCATCATGAAAAGAAGGAAGAAGAAAAAAAGAACGCAAGGGAATGTCATTCCCTTTTTTCCCACCCACATTTTTTATATCTATTAATTATGTACCGCCACACCCTCGATGGATAAAGGGCGCGGCGAACCCGCCATATACTCGAGTATAGTTTATTCCTCCATGGCACCGACAGCCGTGACCTCCGTCGTGGCCGATGTCCAATAAGCGCTGGGTCGAATCACAAACTCGGCCGTGGCGACCCCAAACATCTTCAGTAGCGCAGCCTGTTTAGAATCTAGCTTCTTCCCCTCCCTACACACCACAAACTCCTGGTCCAGACGGACCTTGCCACTCACCAGCCGAGTCGGCATGCCGAGCCCCCTGACGGTAGTCTCGAGCGAGTGCGCCATGGGCACATCCTCCTCCTGCCGTACGTTCCCGCCAGTGGAGTACACGACCCCGGCGGGAACGGTGAATGTGATGGGCGAGACGGCATTCATGCGTGCGTAGTCTTGTTTACTGAAGCTCTCGAAATAGGCAAGTACCTCCTCCACCGGCCGCGAGGTTATTAGTAACCCGACATTGCCGGTTAGGTACTTGCTTAGTGAGCTCAGGTTGGGCCGGTATTCGTCGGATACGGAGGTGCCAAGGGCTTTGGCCATTACTTTGGTTTTGCCGAAGAATAATCTATATCCTAGTTAGCCTAGCGAACCTACTCATACGGAGGGGGAGAGAAGGAGTTACCTAGAATCGCTGAGGTCCGTGCGGACTTCCTTGAGATGGGTATTCCGCATGTTGTCCACTGAGAAGACGAATATTATCTGGTGGTCGTTGATGCTCTCGCGGATTTTCCCGTATAGGCGTTCGTTGTTTTCCCTGCCGGGGCGCTTTTCGGTTTTTGTCAAGGGGACGACTTTTGAGCGTTTGCTGCGGGGCATCTTGGTTTGATAATACGCTCTTATTTTTTTTTTTTCAAAGGGTTGATTGTGGAGTTGGTGCTACTTTGAGCAATGTTAAGAGATGGGGGGAGTAGACAGGGGATGTGAGGTGGGGGATAATTCCTCTTTCAGGTGGTTCTGGTGGGGGGTTAGGGTTTGAAGAGTTAGTGGGATTGCCAAGATTTCACTGGTTTTTAGCCTCTTTGTCGGTGGTTCAGACTGTGTTTCAAACAAACCTTCTGCAGTACATATCACCCTGAACTATCCTTTGCTCGCCGCCAGCATCGACGACTATTAATTGGTATTGGCAACCGAAGGCAAAAGAAAAGATGTTGACATATATGGACTATCTACAGAACGCCTTCCACCGGGCAACCTCCTGGGATCCTGATAATTCATATGTCAACCTCACCGCAACAGCTCAAGGTATTAGTCCTCCTCCGTCACTTCTTTACTACTGGTAACCAATGAGCATTCTCCCAAAGCACTGCTCGATTTCCCCACCCCCCGCGGTCTAAAGATGAACTTCTCCTCCCTTTCTACACCCAAATTCGGCACAAGCTACTCCCTCAGCAACCACGGCGTCGTAGACGGTAGCGTCTCATATTTATACTCTAGCCTCCCGCTGCACAATGTGCATCGTAGCGCGGAGGTGGACCTGCACGACGTGACCACGGGGTACAGGCAGCTGGAGGAATTGCGGCCACCGGATAATGAGCGGTTTTGGGAGGTCTGGAAGGGAGGTGTTAGGGTTGATGGAAGAAGTGGGGGCTAAGTGCATTCCCTTGAATTTTTGAATTACGGACAGAGGAGTAGGGGGGGGGGGGGTTGAGGGAGATTTCCCTGGCTAATTGAAGAGAGGGGATGACGGTGATTGGGGATAGATTCGTTATTATTTGGCAGGATGTATTTGCCGACTAGTACGCTTGAGGCGTTATACCTCAGGAGGATGAAACCTACGACGCAGTTTCGGATCACGGGGGTTAGTGATGGCAGGTTGAAATCTGGAGGGACTGTATGTTTTTTCTCTCTTCTCCCCTTCTCCCCTTTCCACACGAGTCCCATAATATTGCCTTCTTATTCTGGAAAGGAGTGATAGATAATGGCCATGATGCAACACGACTTTGGTAAATGGTCCGGGGAGTACCTGTATAGCACCGACGGCGCCTTAATTGGCGCACGGGGGCTCTACAACTTCGGCCGGGATCCCAGAAAGCAGCCAAATCCTCCACCACGAACCTCCGACGAGAAAGCCGTCGGGAGGTTTAGTATGGGTGCAGAATTCTATTACGGGATGCTTAACAAGTCTGCCGGGAGTAACCCCCCCGCCCCCTTCCAATTCCTGCCAATCCTCTCCCACTTTCTAACGGGAAAAAAAACTCCCACAGTGTCCACGGGCCTTCGCTATACTACCCTCCCAACACACCCTAACGCACCGACGACTATGACACTAACACTGACACCGCTGATGGGCTCACTGTCAGCGACCTATGCCATCAAAGCCGGCGAAACGGCCTCTTTCTGCAGTCGCTTCGACTTCAATATGTACAGCTACGAGTCGGACCTCTCGCTCGGTTGCGAGGTCTGGCGCAGGGAAGATGTGGAGAAGGAGGACTTTGCTGGCGTTTTGAAAGCGAGGGTTTCACAAACTAGTGGTATCGGGCTACTATGGGAGGGGAGGTTGAAGCATTTGCTTTTTAGCGTGGGGGCTGGGATTGACCTACGGAGAAAAGATCAGCTGGTTAGAGCTGTGGGGTTGGAGTTACAGTATTCTTCGTGAAGCTAGGGGAAGATAAGGGGCCCCTATCTGAGAGCACGTAAGTGTCGATTGCTGATCCCTACTTGGCTCTTCTCCAGTGCATGGTTGAAACCAAGGCTGGAAATCATGTACTATCACTCGATTAGTTTTCCCGACGAAAAACAAAAATGAACGACCCGTTTATGTAGACCATGAGCCGTGTATTCCCGGGACTGTGCAGCAACGGCGCAGATTGAGGGATGGGGGGAATGATTGGTGAACATCGGGGGGAGGGAAAAACTAGCCCCCCTACTAAAGACTAGCACGAAGAGATTTGCTAGTATCCTCTGAGTCCGAACCATGACCCTGCTGGGTAACAAGACTCCTTGCAACAGACCAAAGAAGACAAAAAATTTGGAGGATATAAACACTACATCTATAAGATCCCTTCTGCTATCTCCCATACCTCCCTCGTAACAAAAGAAACAAGATTATAACACACACCCTTATAACCCTTATAGCTTTGCGACCACCGCCTCGGTAAACTGAGATCTGGTGGCACTACCACCCAAATCCTTCGTCAATGCCCGGCCCTCGGCCAGCGTGTCAAAGATCGCCTTCTGTATCTTGCTGGCATGGCTGTTTAAGCCCATGTGTTGTAGCATCATCACAGAACTCAATAAGAGAGCAGTGGGGTTGGCGAGATCCATGCCAGCGATGTCAGGAGCAGAGCCGTGCACGGCTTCGAAGATCGAGCACTCGTCCCCAATATTACCGGAAGGGGTGAGTCCGAGACCGCCTATCAACCCGGCACACATGTCGGAAAGAATATCACCATAGAGATTGGGCATAACCAGAAGGATATCTCGATAGATATTGGGGTTAGTAGTCATCTACCGAAATGGTTAGTATACCCAAGGGAAGGTTGGAGAACAGTACGTGCCTTCAAGCAGACATTGTCCAATAGTTCGGCCGAGAACTCGATGTGAGGGAAGTCCTTTGCGACCTCTCTAGCAGTGCTCAAAAAGAGTCCATCGGACATCTTCATAATTGTCGCCTTGTGGACAGCGCGGACCTCCTTTTGTCCGATTGCCTCGGCATGCTGGAATGCGAATCTCAGTACCCTCTCTGACGCCTCGCGCGTGATCAATTTAATAGATTGAACCACGCCCTCGACAACTTCATGCTCAATACCCGAGTATTCCCCCTCGGTGTTCTCACGAATCAATATAGTGTCGACATCGTCGTAGGCGGTCTTATAACCGGCAATCGAGCGACAAGGACGCACGTTGGCGAAAAGGTTGAATGTGCGGCGAAGAGTAAGGTTCAAGGAGACGTGCCCTTTACCGATAGGAGTCTGCAGGTATAACAGTTAATGCATGCTAAAGAGAAATAGGAAAAGAGAACCTACAGCGAGAGGTCCCTTAAGGGCAACCAAGTTCTTCTTCACAGAGTTAATTGCGGCGTCGGGGATCGTGGTTTTTCCGTCCTTGAGAATTGGGGTGACATCGACAGATTCCCATTCAATAGGGGTCTGTGCAAACGTTAGCCGCTTGCGTCACAAAGCCCGTGGAAACATCTTGAAAGTTTCACTCGGCGGAACATTCTGAAGCCATCCTAAAACGTTTTTGGAGGCACTCTATGATACGCACCTTGGCTGCAGCAAATATATCCTTAACACTCTTGGAAATTTCAGGCCCAATACCGTCTCCCTCAATAAACGTTACAGTATAGTTTCCCTATTCCAGTGAAAACAGTCAACATTGTGAATTTTTTCTATACGAACCGAGCGGAGCAGATCCCGTTATCATTCTGGAGAGGTGACAGGTTCAGGTCACCCCAACCAGAAAATAACTCAACAGTCGGTGAGACCTGATTTTTTCTTCTTTCTTTCAGAGACATGGAATGGAATAGGCAAACATTTTGATTCTTGGCTCCCTTGAACTGAGCGACCTTGTTGGTAGAGTAGAGTCTATTACCTTGAATCTAGTTTATACTTAATGTCAGCTTAAGAAAATCTTTCCTCTGCCCTCTCTCTGGTGGGAGGAAAAAGCAAATAAAGCTCTCATACTAAAAGAGACCTGGTCCGGAAAGCAGGGCTTGCAAAGGAAAGGCCTCTTGAGAGGCACCGCACAGAAGACATTGTGTTGTGTGTCCCGGGGCTGGGTTGTGGTAGTTATGATATGAGGTGAGAAGGTGAAGCAAAGGCCAAAATTGCGCGCGGCTGTCACAATGGCGAAGGAGGGGGAGAAGAAGAAGGCGAGGAAGGAATGAGATAGGTACTTCGGTATGCAGGTGTTGTTGGAACAATCCACGCCCTACCGAAAGGAGGAAACAAAAAATTCGAATCCTCCGTTGCTGGCCCTGTGGGGCGGCTGACTGACCCACCTTTATCTGATCAACACTCCAATCTAATCCGATAGACCCGGAATCAACCGACTGCACCTCGCTGGGGAGACAAAAATGTGATGGTTCTGATACCGGTAATTATTCCGTTTCGGAGAATGGTTTATTAAAGGAAGGGAGAGAGTTATTTCTCGCGGGAAATGCGAGTACGCGTGGATTAGCCAACGTTAGTACGGAATTGAGAGTTTAAACTTATTATTAACCGCGATCAATCTAGGAGGAAGTCACGTGGAGTATCCTAAGTCACGAATTAAACGCCAATCCAACGCGTTACCATTTTCGCACTTTAGCCCAGTGTCTCGATTAGGCTTTCTGGGCTAATGGGAACGGTGACCCCGGCAACAGGTGTCAACAACACCTTCCCACAGGGTGTCCCTTTTCCTTCCCCACCATTACTACCACCTCCTTCTCTATTTCCTCCCTTTCCCGAGTATTGTTCTTTATACCCTCTATTCCACCTTTATCCTCTTATATCGTCACAAGTCAGGAGTCTGTATACTATACACATTACTATAACCAGCCCAACTGTTTAGAGTACCCACTGTCACTATGCCTCCCAGACGCAAAGCCGCTGCCGTCTCCCAGGCACGTACTCGAACATTACACTCTTTCACAAAAAAGGTTTCAAAAAGCGTTAGTTCTACGGGAAGCGCTTCCGCCGTTAAGCAGGGGATTCCGTTAAAAACAAGGGCCAAAAAGGTGGGTAGCAAGCCGGAAAAAATATCTTTGAAAATTATTCAGGACGGAGACGAAGATGTACTTGTACCCGTTACGATCGAGCCCGAACCCGCTATTGTCCAGGTGGAGGAGTCGGTCGTTAAAGTTACCCCTACATCTGAACCTGCGCCTGCACCTACTCCAGCGAAGAAACGGAAACGTGCCATAGACGATTTTTTCTCGCCCCCCACTAAGAAGCCTGCTGTCGCTACCTGTACTACTGTTACTCGTCCATTACCGTCTCCGCCGGCTTCTTCCCCGCCGTTGGAGAGTCTTCCGGCAGACCTAGCCCTGTTACAGACCCTTCATGGCTCGCTGTTAACGGCTCTACTTTTGCATAGGGCCCATCATAACAATGGTACACACCCCGCTTCATTCTCCGCCATAAAGCTTCACGCGGAGCGTCTTGCTCGCAGGGATCTTAGCTTCGAGGATCTTAGGAGGATAGTGTATATATCCCACTATGGAGAAAAGGCAGACAACGGCGGCTTCAAATTGGTTGACTACGGCGCCGGGAATATATGCATCGACTTTATCGAGAAGACCGGGGCTCGAAAACTGGTCAACACGAAACTACTCAAAGAGGAATTCGAGGCAAAACTATGGTTATACTTTCGTAGGCATCGGGGGGACTCAAACGCCCAACTCATCACTCCACCAAGCTCATTCACCGAGGACGATAAGGGGGAGGAAAAGGAGGGGACCGGGAAAAAAGATTCTGCCTATGAGACCATAGTCCCCCTCGCCGAGATAGTCGCACATCCCCAAGCTGCCACCATTCAAAGCGTCCTGCACAGCAAGAACCAAGCCGTGCTCCAAGAACTCCGCAAACCTGCCTCTGTGCCTCCTCCTAAATCCGCGACTCGCGTCACTCCCCTCTCTTCTCGCACGTCAACACTTTACGACCGCATCCGTGCTAAAGCCGAGGCTGCAGCTGCAGCCCGACAGAAGGCACCATCAAAGGAAGCCCTGGCCCGTGCCGCCGCTGAGCAACGAATCCCAGAGATTGAGCCGATCCTAAGAAGCCTAGCCGGGCGCGGGACAAACATGACGATGAAAAGCGTCGTTGAAGGGATCAAGGAGAGTACGAGAAATCCCATATCAATGGAAGATGCGGAGAAAGTTGTTAGAGTCATAGCAGAAAGGGACGGTGGAAAGGGCTGGGTCAGGGTTGCTGATGTTGGGAGGGTTACTGGTGTAGTCTTTACCAAGAGGGATACTGGTGGGTTTGAGTAATTGTTGTATTTGTTTTATACCTCTGTACTTTTTCTTCCTTCCCTCTTTCAGCTTATGCTTTGTTGTGTGGGTGTTTATGGGATTGATGGAGACTCGTTAGTGTTTTTTTCTTCTGGTGTTACGATATCTGGGTCTATGAGTACCGTACTACATGTAACATAAAAAAGATATTATTATGGATGGGTGGGATTGTGTATTTCTTTTTCTTGTAAGTTAGCTTTTGCGAGTAGATAGATACCGATATGATAACCGTGTTGATCCCTTATGACTGCTATGATGTTAGTTTTTGCCTGGTTACGGAAGTTACCTATCATTCCTTTGTTCTGCTCCCTCGTTTCACATCTGCTCGTGACACTTTAGTTCCTTTGTGCCATGAGGCATTACATGTGCCACCGGTAGTACAGTGTAGTACAGTGCTCACGAAAGCTTCCACCGATAGTGGGAAATTATTCAAAGACGCGAGCTAAAAAAAATACCTGAGTCAATGAATTGGAGAGAGAGAGAAAAAAAAAGATCACACTTCAAGTTGAAAAACAACCTCTCCGTTGCGGGGAATCGAACCCCGATCTCGTCGGGTCATGATGAAAGCGACGGATGCTAGCCGTTACACCACAACGGAATATGAAGCGATGCATCGAGGAATGTGTAGTACCGTGGGGTCTTCCAGGAATGTCACTTTGCAGGTGACCGTCGCCTATTCTAGAGTAGCACATGCGACGGTTAGAATAAGTGGGGGGCCCGGGAGGGAGGGAAAATCATCTGTTTCCTTTGGGTTCTTATTTATTTCTGTTGGTTCTTAGAGTACAGTACTGTGCCGGTACTCGAGTACTGTTCTATGCCGGCACTTTCTTTTCGATCCTTCTGGGTCTGATTTTATACGATAGGTACTCGTACTCGTACAGTCCCAGGAACCCAGCTCCATCTGCCGCTCACTAGACTTTGTTTACTCGCCGGCTACGGTACGGTACCTAAACCCGGGTGACCGGATCTTACGAGGCGGTGGGTCTTCTGTAACTTGCTTTCCGCTGTCTGTCTGCGAAATGGACGGTCGTGGTTGACATACCGACACAGTACTCGCGTATTGGGGCTTTTCCTTCGGTCCCCCTCGCCAAATATTTGGGCGTGCGGTGGTGTCGCCGGTATTGTGCTGTGCATTGTTTTCCCGCGTGTTCTCTTCGCGGTATCATAAAGTTTATGGATTCGGAAGTTATTAGGGCTTCTGCTTTCCCTGGGCCGGGATGATAGGATGGTTATACTTGCACGCTACGGTGTTTGAAGGGCTCAATGTGGATAACGGGGTAATTTACTGAAGGGATCGAGCGGTCGGAATAATCCCAGCGGAAAACGGCGTGACCGGACCGATAGTGGTAGATGGGGAAAGTTGAAATGCCTAGGGCTTCGCGCCTGGTAAACTATCGGAGATTGGGATCATTGGTACCCTACTGGTCCTAAGTGGATAGTATGATACGGTACGGTAGTTATTCTTGCAAGGGGTATCAAGTTGTGGACAGTGGCCAAAAGTGTACTGTTACCGATAGTACTCGGCTATGGACGTGGGATACCGGACAGCCAGGGATTAGAGGTTTCAAAGCTTCTTGCTTGTTCGAGCAATTCTCATGCCAGGCTCATTCCTTTATTTCCTATGAGGGCAAGGACGGTCAGGCCTCTAGAATCCCTGGCTGTCCGGTATCCCACGTCCACACCCGAGTAACTGCTATTGCCTGGGTGCCACCACCGTCTGGGACAGTTCGGGTCTCGGGTGGTCTTACATCCGTGTTCCGATTATCCTCGCATCTTGTCTCAGTGCTGGACCTCAAACATTCTGGAAAGGTTATGTCAAGTCCTCAATCTCCCGCTGGGCATTTCTGGTAGGGATTATGTTTTTCGCTGCTGGATCTCTAGAAGCTGATTAACCAGGGGATCTTTGCATAAATTCTTTTTCATGCCCTTTCAAAACCTGTTGGCAAGTGTTGCAACCCGAATTCAGACAAGAGGTTGCGGAGACAAGCTTTCCGAAAAGTTGGGTGATTTGAAGGGATTCCGATGGCTATCACCGAGCCTATAATAAAAGATTTTGAGATACTGAGATCAAAAGCACTTCCGGTCGAAAATCCCACTAATTATTGGGCGGGGATTCATTTATCTACGCCGGGGGTAATGCCACATTCCTCTTTAGTGTACGGAATTAGGAAGGCCCTAAAAGCCCGTACAAGCCGCGCACGTGCTAGAACTGCCGTGCAATGTAGGGTGTTCTCATTGGGGGGCTAGACGGTGATCGGGGTGTGCGATATTGAATACGGTGACGGGGGTGGTACCTAGTAGGTTTTAATCTTATCATACGGTACTATAATACCGGACCCTGTAGAATGTCGAAGATGTGGCCAACATGTGCCTGGCTAACTGCTGTGCTTCTCAGAAGATTGAATCGAGACTGGTGCAGACACCCCCGGGTGTTGAGAAGGAATCATGCAGGTCACAGGAAGAATTCAATTGGGCAGCTCCGGCCCTCTGCTTGTAAAGGTATAGCGAGCTTCTATACCCTCCTCTCGTCCTTCTGGTAGTTCGTATACTCGCTCTCCATTGAGGGATGTTGTCTGGAACGTATTGCACTGGTTGGAATGTGAAATGATCGATATTGCAGGAGTAGTGGCTGATATGACGGAATGGTTGGATGTATGGTTGGGATGAGGAATGACAGTGGACGCTTGGGAGTGAGGGCTGGTATGGATATGGGAATGGATGAAATCCTGGTGGCTGCGCTGGACTTGGAACCTTGTATATATAGCCTGTTATGGTTGATGTTTGGATTAGAAAAAAGGCAAGAAAGACAAGACGAACGGATGTGGTTCTATTTAAGGTTGACTCTTGATCACAAGGGAAAGATCTCAATGAAGGTGCGACCATTTGTGATTGTAAATTAACAAAAGCACCGCCAGGGTTTTGTGTTCATGACTTCCCCAATCCCTGAGCTTTTTTATCCCTCAATTTGAGCCTTTTAGTGCCTACTGATCAGATCCTGGGCCCCTTACCGACACCCAGCGGTAGAACCCGCTTTCACAACTACTAAACTAACAAGACGTTGAGGGTCCCAATGTAGTCTCCACTATGGTGCAAACTCTTTAGGTGATAAATCCTCACTATGGGCTTTCATATTGAGTTGGTCTGAGCATTCTGTAGTTTTATGAAGGGAACACCTGTTTTTGTCCCCTTTTCTTTTCTTCCCCCCGGAAATGGATTCCATGTTTCTTGTTTTTACTCTTTTTTTTTTTTTTAGAGATGAATTGCGCATCTCGTGTGCGCGGCTTGCTCCCCTAAAATCTGGAAAAATTCTGAGAACTTCTTGGGCTTTTGGTACACCTGAGCAGAGCAGAAGAAAAAAGTCACGAACCCACCAGCCAGCACTACTACAGTTAACTTGAAATTGAGAGAATCCCGTTGTGTGCCTGTGACTTTGATGGGGGGAATTTCTACAGAGCATCATACGAATAGACGGTAGAATCTCATAGTTTAGTAGTGGGTCGAGGTTTGTGAGTACCCGTATTCGTTCTTGCGTTCTTTTGCCGCGTGGATAGGACGGTTAATTATAGGAACCTATAATAGATACTGATTTCCGGCAACAGATATAAATTGCTGAACAATTAAGTTTCTATTCACACCGTCTGTTCATCGGATACTAATCTATTGCCCTCCCTCATGGGTGTTGTTCCTCTTCCTTCTCATCTTCCCGGCAGAGTTCGGATAGTGCGGCATGGTAACGTATAGTGCCACAAACAAGTACCGCACCGTAAATTACAGGTGTAAGGTGTAGGCGCAAGTACTGTGTGAGACCATAAAAACCCTTATGATGCGCCGTCGGATCGTCAGCGGAAATCAGCCGGTCGGCCTACGATAGTTTGGTTTGATAGGCTAAGATAATTGTGAATACTGGTTAATGAGGTCCTAGAGTGCTTAGTGGGCTGGTCTTATACTAGAAGACGTTAGTCCTTCCTACGAACTTTTATCTTAGAATCCGCAGGTTACGAGGCTAACGGAAATACCGGTTGTGGACTATTTCTACCTTCTGCACCAAAGCTTCTGGTGCCGGGTAACTATGGCGAGAGCTTGAAAAATGGTCTCGCACAGGGATCTCAAAATCTCCCTCTCTGGATGGGGGGGGGGGGGAGTACTCGTACAGCACCCTACTGCGAAAACAGAGCCTCTCAGCCCTAGACAGTGGCAAGAAATTAGAAAACTGCCGGACCCTACCAATAGAGGCAACTCCAGCGTTCTGGCAACAGGGTTCACTCGCTCAAGCTCTTGCCGCATATGTTCACTTTCGGGATCTGGTGGTGAGCTCACGTCACGGTGTAATCGGTGAGTAGACCGTCCTGTAAAGCGATGTCTGACCCTTTTCCCAACCCCACAGTCCCTTCATCTTCCTCCTCGACCCTTTGCTTTGCATACTTTCCCGAGTCTCTGCGCGTACCGGTATTTCATGCTATCATAGCTATTGCTAGCCCGGCTCATGGCATCTGGAAAGTTTATGGTAAGCTGGCGTACGCTATAGTATCGCACCATATCGTGCGCAGTGTAAACCCATAGTTCTGACTGTTGAAAACTTGAGAATGATTTCACATACGAGCCATAAGCATCCATGTGCATATGTAAGTGCTTACACATCTTTCATGTCCTTGTTGTGCGTTGCTCCCTGAAGTTTGTCTTCTCCTGTTCTTTTTCTCCTCTTACCTGACCAACCAACACACCCAATTCCTTCTGTCCCTCGCTTGCTGTTTTCTTCCACTCTGCACAGTCAACAAACCTGCCACCTTCTTTTCTTTCTCTTGACTCCACTCTCTGTATACAAGAAAAATACTCTTCTCTCTTTGGGCATTTACTCCCTTCGGTTCCGTAAAACTTTCGTCAATTCAATCGTAATTTCCAACACTGACCCCACTGACCCCAGCGAGTGACCTTACATGATTACGCAAACAACTATAGAGTTGTGAGCAGCCAACCAACTCGGAGGATTGGGACCTTTTCTTCACAAAAGTCGTACACATCACGGAATCGGGGGGAAACCTCCGCTTCTGAAAACACCACATATCGAGACACATAGGATCTAAGTTCTAGTAGAACTCAAACAATTTCTTGATCTAGACCACTAGGTTAGCAGGTCATCGTTGATCACAAATCAAATGCTCCGAACCTCTTTTTTCTTTTTCTTGAATATTCTTTTTCTTGTTGCGTTAGCTGCTATTTCGGGGTGCGGCAGCGTTACTGACATGGGACGGTAATGCGCTCTGGTACTGGGTTCTCTCGGCCTGAAGTAAGCATCGTATTTGACTGCGTGCACAAGTAATATCTGTTCGTTTGCATGACTCAGACGGGGCTCCGGGTCGACACCATTGCGACGTGTATTGGAAGAGGTTTGGGGGTTTAGGGGTTGTTGTGGGTTATATTATGCCCTCCCTCTGTTGGAGCAGAGAGGGTGTCTCCTCAAGGTTTCGCTTTAGAAGGTCCTCCCAGTAGAGAAAACCATCTCCCCTCAATCCCACTTCCCTCTAGAAGAGGGGTTCGGACGATGCGGACTTCTTTCCTCTCTGCGCTTTTGGGCGTTTTCGCTTTATCCGATGTTGCACAAACCTCGGGTGAATACCCGGAAGCCACGGGAACTATCCCCTCTCACTCTAATTGCCGCTGTTTTCCTGGAGACCCTTGCTGGCCGTCGGCACAGAAATGGGGCGAATTGAACACCACAGTCTCTGGAAAATTGATCGCTACCGTTCCCCTCGGCACTCCTTGCCATGCACCCGATTACGATGCATCCAGATGCCAGTATATCAAGGAAAATTGGCACTCTCCTGAACTCCAGTATGTGGACCCCCCTCCATCTCTGTCCCGAGAACCCCCAATGGGTAGAGCTAAGTTACTGATCGATCATTGCAGCGACGAATCCTCGAGTTCAGTTATGGCGTCATTCTACGCTAATAGGAGCTGCGATCCTTTCATGCCCGTTGACAGTCCATGTCAGATTGGTGCTTATGTCCGCTATGCCATCAATGTCACTGAGCCGGCGGATATTATTGCGGGTATCAAATTTGCCAAGAAGAATAATGTTCGCCTGGTCATCCGCAATACGGGTCATGAGTAAGCGTGACCTTTTCTGTATGGTTAGCTAATTGGATACGAGCTAATTGCGTTGTTTCATGTAGCTTTTTTGGTAAGTCCTCTGGACCTGGATCACTGTCTCTCTGGACCCACCACCTTAAGGATATCGAATACATCCCTGAATACAAATCGGAGGCCTATCATGGGCCAGCGCTCAAGGTTGGTGCCGGAGTCCAGGGTATCGAGGCGTTTACCGCTGCGGACAAGAACGGTGTCGTTGTTGTCGGAGGCGTGTGCCCTTCGGTCGGTATTGCCGGTGGATACACACAGGGTGGCGGCCATTCAATATTGATGGGCAAGTATGGTCTCGGGGCTGATCAGACCCTTGAGTTTGAGGTTGTGACCGGAGAGGGCAAACATGTCAATGCAAGCAAGACCGAGAATACGGACTTGTATTGGGCCCTCAGCGGTGGTGGTGGGGGTACATATGGTGTTGTGACCTCCATGACTGTCAAGGCGCACAAAGATGCCCCCATGACCGTCACACAGTATTCCTTCAGAACTACCACTGGTGATACCTCTATGGATAATTTCTACGACGCTCTCGACTTTCTCCACCAAATGGCTCCCGGGTACTTTGACCGCGGCGGCTATAGCGTCCATATCTACTCTAAGGGATCCTTATCTTTTGGCTTATT